ATAGGCAATATAGAATACAATTAATCTAAATTTATTTTGAAAATGTCATTATGTAAGTATAATATAAAATATAGTGATAGTTGTACTATAGTTTCAAGTCCCCAACAATAATATTTTTGAATTACATCAAAATAACTAAAATTGTAAGAATTAGAAAAAAATAGTCATCATTTTAACAACAAGTAATATTTTAAGTTGAACATTAGGTAAATAATAAACTATAAAAGAACCATTCAATATTTGTGTTAAACATGAACTGTGTATTTTACAATATTTATTTATTTTTTTGTATTTTTAGTTTCATACCTGAGATTATATTATGTACTTAAAATTACAATAAATCATTTTGTGAATTAAATTAGTGTTGTTTTTTATATTAATGTAAATATTTAATGTGATTGATTGTATCATGCTCTATGTACAAGACTACAAAATAAGAATTAATTTTATTACTTGTAATTTGTGTATCATGTACCGTGTAAAATTGATGTATGCCTATTTTGTAGGTCTATTGTCCATATTCTAATAAATGTTATCTTTAATTAATTATTTCAATACAAGTTTTGTAAGTTATAACTCTACTGTGCTTTTTATTTCTATTTTATGTATAGTGTTCAAGAATAAATATGCAAACAACAATTGATGTTTTTGTGTTATAAGGTCGATTGTTGAATGTTGGAAAATAAAATCTGGTTGGAATGTATAAAAATGTGAAAATATAATTTGTGTATGAACAATTTCTATTTCAATTTTTAAGTGTCTACTTGACACATATTCAATGAACAAACTGTTTGATCACATGGATTTCAGATTTTTAAATGTACTGTGTTTGTAACACAATACAATAGATACATATAAGTATGTAGGTACATGCACATGGATAGCTGATGATAATGTATCCCAAGAGAAAAATGTCAGTAGTGTTTTATATGAAAAACATTTTGGACAAAGGATAGGAAAGATAATGTATTAAGACATAATATTATAAGGAGCAATCATAATAATAAAGAATTGACACATTTTAAATATGTAGTACTTAATAATTATTATACATTGAAATTTGAAACAACTAATAATTTCATATTTTTATTTAAAAAATAATTTATTATTAAACTAAAGGTAAAAACAAGGAATTTAGATTTTAGAACAGCGTGTACGTGGATAACTGTCAACTGTGTATTAGGTGTCTATAGTGTCACTGTAATGGATGTGTTAGGTCTGTCAGCCTATATAATTACTAATTCAATTTTATGATTTTATTGTGATCTAAGTTAAAACGCCTTCAAATGCACACATAGGCAATACAACACGCAAAAACTAGCCGGTCATGATTACAGGAAGCAACACAGTTCCCGAAAAAAATTACTTGAGTAAGCAGTCGAATAATGATATTTAAAAATACAATCATCTAATTGGAAATTTCTGTGTGTATTCTGTATTTTTCAAATCATTTTAAACAATATCAACAGAGGCAATTTAACTAAAAATTATTGTTGAGTATTTTCAACATTTTATTAGATAACATTCCCCGTGGACCGGCGACTAATAAACAAACTTTTACTTTTATAATCTGTAAAATATTTAAAAAATTAAAAAATTAAAAAATTAAAATAAATAGGGAAGTGGATGGCACTCCGCTCATAAGTTGCAGTGTACTGGATGGACGGTGTTAAATTTGAATTCATTGATATAAAATCATTGTACTGGAAAAATGATTCTGATCGAATATTCGAATGATATTATTGTGATTAAAGTAATTTATTTTACTATTAAGTATTAGTACTGTACGGTAGGTTAAATCTATTTTCACCAAAAAAATTATATTTGAAAAGTCATTCTGTGTATAAATTATAATAATATCCTCCAAAAGTTTCAAGTACCCACGAATATAATATTTTTAAATCACACCAAAATAACTTAAATCATTATTCTTTTGAATTTAATAATGTGTAGTGTCTTCCAAAATTGAACTTAAAATAACAATAATAAAAAATAACTGTGGTTGTATATTTTTTAGATTTTTTGTTATAGAATAACTTACTTACTTGGAACTTTGTTTTACATTGTCTATCTTTAGCTTCACAATTTGAATATTTTATACATTTTTATCTACAAAATAATTTTAAATTTTAAATTTGATAAATGTTGTTAACATTTCAACTTTAAATGCCTACAAAAAATATTGTGCCAATGTATTTTGAATATTTTTCAACTGCTGTTGTAACAATATATCAAAAACCTTGCAATACATTTTCAATCTTTTTGACCTAACGAATACAATTGTATTCACATTTACAGAAAAAAAGCCAAAAACATTGAAAACTTAAAATGTCAATAAACAGCTGAAAAGGAGTCAAAATATTTTGAAAATTATTTCAAGTATAAGGAATGATGTAACAAACATTTTGTGTAAATTACAAGTATCTGCGATTATTCGTTTATTATAATTGCAACAAAATAAGAAAATCGTTCCATAAGAAATCTAGTAATTATCCAATGTTGTAAAAATATCAACTTCAAATGTTCATAAAAATTTAATTTGACTTACGAAATTTTTTTGATAAAAGTAGACCAGCTTATGAGGAATGTTTGAAGTTTAAGTAGTTTAAAAAAACTAATAATGATCAAAAATGTCATATGCCTATAAATAGTTAAACACGAGTCAAAATACTTTGCAAATTGTATTACATATAGCAAATGCGAATATAAGTATTCGGTAAAAATATCATGTATCTGCGGTCATTTGTTTTAGAGTTACGCCAAAAATCAAAATCGATATTGTCAAAAGCCGATGTTGCGGTAGAATTCCAACTTTTTAAATCTTGGTAATATTGTAAAGAAATTTCAACTCTTAGATATACATCAAACAATTTTCTGAATTTTTAATTCGAAATATTTTGCCAATGTTGTAAACATTTTAACATCAAACGCTCATCAAATTTATTTGTGAATTTACTCTCAAATTTTTTTTTAAATTCTACTAACAACTTTTGAGAAACATTGTATTATATTTTCAAGATTTTCAACCTGGCAAAAAAAAAATAATTGAAAAAAAAATAATAAGACTCGAAATTATCTTATTCTTATGCCCACAAATAGCCCACAAATAGCTCAAAAAGAGTCGCAATATTTCGAAAATGTTATAGGGCATATTATAAATTGCTTTTATAAAAATGTATTGAATATGTCGTGTTTGCAAATAAATGAGAATTAGGAATCCAACAGTTTGAGAATAACCGGAATGTTGATGGGCAGGCGGTAATCATCATTCTTCATTCATGATTACAATAAAATATTTCAAATTTTTCTATGGTTACTAATTAGTAGAGATAAGATTTTAATGGCCTAAAATATACACAATAATGCACAAAAAAATGACTTAAAAACTCAAAAAAATGAACTTAAAAAATGACCAAAAAATGTTCTTAAATGAACGAAAAAAATTTAATTTTTAAATAAATATAATTATTAATTATTATTTATTATTTTTTTTATATTACACAAAAGAGGTAAACATTTGTTTTTAAAAGTTAATTAAACAAATATTTTCAAATTTGAGTTGACTTGTGAGTTTAATTAATTATATTACTTTTTCGATTCTAACCCATTTAGCCGAATCCCAATTCGCCGACAACTCAGTTTGCCGACAAATATACCAGTTTTGGAATATTTGTAATATTAATTTATTAATAAGGTTTAAATTTTTCCCATTCGCCGACCGGTGACAATAATTTTGTCGAAAACGGGCATAACAGTGATAATATTATGGTATGTTGTCGATGTAAGTTCAAAGATACTATTTTTATAAGGGTACTATAATAGGTACTAATTGAGATTACTTATACAACACATATTAAAAAAACTAAAATAAACAAAAATTAGTTTAAATACACAAATTAAACGTAATATTTGTAAAAAATTAGCTTAAAAAATGCCAAAAATGCAAGATAAAATGTACACATTCTAAATTGTTGTATCACGTAGCAAATTAATTTCTTGGTCAGAACTGTATAGCACTTAAAGAAAAAAAAAAGGCAAAAGTCACCTAAATCCTAGACGTACCTACTAATTAGCAATTAATGATGGGTGTTGATTATCAGTAAATATCATTTTAATCGCATAAAATATGTTTAAATATTCAAGTTGGATTTTATTCCATCAGGGCTTATAATTAATCAACTGTCATGATGAGGTCCATCGTTTTGTAAGGTTTCGGATTTGTGCAAATTTCGATGTTCAACGATTCGATCTTTTAAAAGATCGGGCAATGGATATCTCGATTCAAACCACCCATTACTATTTTTTTTTTCTATAGCGAAAACTAGTATCACATTTGTGAGCGCATTAAAAACACGAACGTCCGTGCGTGAATTATGAACACAAACGTTCGAGGTCTCTAGACACCAAGGTTAAAGGTAGATTAAAATTAATCCATAAACCTCGTCTAGACACGGCGTAATCATTGTTATTGTGGAGGTATGGTGGTTATCACTAATGACGACTACGTCTAATTGCGTGTGTCCGAGCGAGTTTTAAGTTGTTAACAGACCAGAGATCTTAACATAAAATGGGCTATTTCGTGTAGGTATTTAAATCGTGCAGTCAAAAAATGATTAAGAGTCGCGTTGAAGCGGATCGATTACGGCGGGACGGGGTGGTTTTTGGTATGCGATTGTGTGGCGGTGTAAACGTCAAAAAATGAAGGTAACGCGCCGTACGATGTGCGTGTGCGGTACGAAAACTGAGAAAACGAGATCGATGCTGCGAAAATACGAAGCCGGAAGTAGGCAGCCGGTCGTTCTATCAATTGACGCAGCGCCGTCCGGAAACCAATGTGACCAACCGTTTTTCGCGAACATCGCTTTCGCGATAAATTTTCGCGGCGGCTTTCCACCAGCGCGGGTCGGTGTCGCCAACCGCGAGAGGGTGACGACGCGAGAGGTGCATGGTAGCGGCGGGATAACGATATTCCGATAACACTCGCGACTCCGCCGCTCGCCACTCGCCACTCTGTATTCACATTTCACTGCGCCAAGCGTTGGACGGCAGACACTCGCGTTACTATTGCTCCCTGTGGTTTCGGATGTTACTGTATGTGAGAGAATTGATAGATATATTTTGTCATGACTTGGTCGTCATTTGCGTTTATCCAGTGATCAGGATCCGTAATGCTGTGAGTCCGTGAAAACCGTGATATCCCCAAATCGTTACGACACGACCGTTGGTTTATTCTGACTGTTTGCTTGTGCCGATTGCGTTTATTTGATCCATGCAATCGCATTATCCGTCGCCGGCGCCATATTGATCGACATCGTTCCAACTCGTTTCACCATTTTTACCCGTCTGTATTTTGCCCTTAGAATTTTCTCGTCTGCTGTTGGTTACATTATCAAATAGTTGATTTATTGATCTGCAACTCAGATTTTCTGCCGAAACGACGAAATATATACAGACATATTATACTATATGATGGAACATTTTGAATTCGCTTTGGGTAAGTATTGATTTTGTTACAATAATTGTACGGCTGAGTTTATGCCCCAGTTTGGTTTATATTATGCTGCTGATTCCTCGTTCAATTGCTTGGCTGATGTGTTGATATATTCAATGCAACAAAATGATTCCGTTCACCGAATATCACCATAGATACATTAAGAATTTAGCCATCTATACTCAGTCTCACAAAACAACAATCATTTTTTGAGATTCGCGAATGATTCGATCGGCATATCGAGAACCATGTGATCAGGCTTACCGTACACTGTGGAGTTAGTGGGAAATGAGCAACACAGACATACATCTGTCAGCCGATTGTTTATTCTCTTTTGAGTATAATGGGTGTAATAATGAATTGCCAAAATTAAATCTAACTAGTTTCAACTGGTTATACCAAAATAGGGCATCTAGCATATTGTGTTATCAAAAAACCATATTGTTCTCTAACAAATAATTATAAGAATCTTTTAATGAATTCATAATTATTTTTATAATCTATTTTTACATAATATGAAGCAGGTACTATTACTTTTTTTAATAATATTTAACTTGTACCTACCAATCTTACCTTGTTTAAATAGGTACCTGTGTAAATAATAAATTAAAATACAAGAATTGAAAATTGATAACAAAAATTCTCATAAATAGTTCGTATTGAAATTAAAAAGTATAAAGGCATCATTATTTTTTACAGACATTACTAGAGATACTCGTAATGGTCATGAAACGTTTATTTTTTTCTATACATCTAAAACCAAGAATAACCACTCAAGTTATTTTGTTATAATTTAAAAATATTATTTGTGGGTACTTGATACTTTTAGAGTATATTGTTATTTTGTGTACAGTTTACACACAGTGATATTTTAAAATGCAATTTTTTGAAAAAAATTAATGTAACTTGCTGCAGTACTAATGCTTAATAGTGAAATTAACTTCTTCTTTAATCACAATAATTTCACAGAATTTATTAAATAATTATATAGGCTGACAGGTACTTTTCTGTTATCCCTACTACCTCGAGTCTCCATTCTATTATCTCGACTACCACGCCGATGCTGTGACCACAACTCGCTCGATTACCTTTTGCTGACAGTTGTTGTATTTCCGTCATTGTATTTATTCATTTAAAAATAATTATGAATCTGTGGAATTTACCAAACAGTGAAAAAGATGCAATTGAATTTTTTCAAGAGAAGGGTTTACTTCCAGGGCACCGTGAATGCAAAAATAGAATTTTAGACTTCTAGCTGTAACCGTGATTTTTAATTTTTATATGTAATATTTAATATCTTGATGAATTTATGTTTAATGTTATAATTTATAGAATAGACTTACAACTGCTGTGATAATTTTAGAATATGTAACTTGACGTTTTGTGATAATTTTGAGGACATACTAATATACATTATTATATAAATGGCAATTCATGTATTTTATGTATTAAAATATAGAACTATCTGGATATTACTTTAGTAGTCGAGATAACAGAATTGAGTGGTCACGGTAGTCGTGGCATCGAGTGGTAGTATGGATAACAGAAAAGTACCAGCTGACAGACCTGAATCGTTTTTCTTATACAATGGTTCTTGAATCAAATTTAACACATCCATCACAGTGGCTCACTAGACACCTAATGTACAGCAGAACGTTATCCGCTTACCTGCTTTATTTTTATTTATGTATTGTAATGTTTTATTCTTATTTAGGTCAACAAGTGTTAGCATATTCTCAAGGTTTGCTCTATGAAGCCAAGGTTATCGATCGACGAGTGACAAACTCAGGGTGTAATCAATACTATATACATTACAAAGGATTCAAAGCAAAATGGGATGAATGGCTTGACGAGGAAGAATTGTTGGAAGTTAATGCAATAAATTTAGGTCACAAGAGAAGGCTACTAGAATCTCGTCGGTAAGAAATTGCCGGGAAAATTGATTTATTATTGCTACTCACCATTTATCACCGTTTATTTAAAAAAAGTTTTATTATATTTTATTTAATGAATGAATAATTGTAGAAAACTTGAAAAGACCAAAACAGCTTATGAACGAAGGACAGCGGTAGCATCTTCATCAAAATCAGCAACAAGAAGAAGAGGTATGTACTTTCGTTCAATATTTATTTTGTATTTCAACATTTGTCATTGTAATGTTTTATTAAAATTAGGCGATTCCGAAAATAATGTAGCACAATCTGCAATCCCAGTTTTAGAAAATGAAGTAATGCCGATTGTAGCAGATGATGAAGTACTAGTTATAGATGATGAACCAATCACAGCCATTGAAAACGAAGTAGTCCCAGTTTTCGGTAACAGAGCAGCTGTTCGTCCTGGTCGTGGAATTATATTCCATAATATTCCACCTCCAATGGTATCTATTACAAATAGTGTAATAATAATAAAAATAATACCTATTAAAACTATATTTTTGTTTTAGCTTCTTGCAAATGAATTGCGTTCATTAAAACTACCGCGTTTTCTTAAAGGAGCGAGGGATATTGATCGTACAATGCACAAGTCATTTGGCATGGTACAATACATTTAGTTTTTATACGTCATGATTAAATCATTTTAATATTGATTATTTGGTTTTAGGTATTAAAGTTTCCGGAGAAAAACTTTGTTGCAGAAGTATTGCACGAATTCACAAAATCTAACTTTTTTGTAGATGATGATGTCCAAAAGTAATTTTTTAATAACCATTTAAATTTATTACTCATAAATATTTTACACTTAATTTTTTTTTAGAAAATATACAATAATATTTCCTGTTACGTTAATGAAGTATTTTAATACCTCAGTGCATTCATGCCTCACGTATAAGAATGAGAAAAAGCATCGTCTACAAAATAAGGTAATGAGAAAAATAAATTGTGTAAAATTATAATTATAATATATTTTTAATACAACATTATGTATTAATAATTTCCATTTTTAAATACTTTGAATTCTAAGAAAAAGTGTACTTAAGAATCTGAGCAGAGAGATAAATGTATTGATTTTGTGTTTGTTCACATGAACTATGATGGGTAATAAAAGCATTTACGAGAAGTCTTGTGATAATTAAAAAAAAAATAACTGTCATTGTGCTACTTATAGATTTCTTAAATGTGTTACTTTTTTAGTTTGTGATTTCAGTATGATATTATTTTTTTGGGGTAAAAATGTATTACAATGTTACTTTAAAGGTTAGCATGTATACAAAATATACATAATCACTATATTTTTTTTTAGATGTTAAAGTTTTAATTTTAAGAAATTCTTCAAAATTATTTTTTAGTGAAAATGTTCAATTTTTACACTTAAGACTAGCAAATATGATTCAAAGTTAAATGAGGAAAAATGATTTTAGTAACTTTCATGAAACCAAGTAATTCTTTTTGCGGACTAGAAACTAATATATTATCTATATTATTTTATTTAACTATACACAATGCACTTTGCTAAATATTTAGAATGAGGTATTGTTTATATATACTACTACCCTATTCATACCCTACCTACTGTAAATAAGTATTGACTTAAAGTTAATAATAATAGTCAATAATTATGATATAATTATATACCTTAATGATTATTGATAATATAATAAATTCTATGTTTCTGATAAAATTAATCCAACCTATGATATTAGCCATAATATTGTTCTAATTTTAATAACAATATAAATACATTATTTCTTATATTTGGAATAAAAGTTAAGTGTTGAGGGCTCTTTTCAAAATTGCATTTTGTATACAATAATTTATCTTTGAATTAAAATTTAACATATTTTTATAATCAATATAAATTCAGAAGTAGTCATTACATTTGATAAACAATATTGAAAGGAGTTGATCTGTATTTCTAAAGATATTTTATTACATGTTTTATATTACTCTTGGGAAAGTAGAAATCTAATCGATTTAAAAATTACCAATACAAATTGCATATTTTATAATTTAAATGTGTTTTTTTTATATAATATAATCAGGTGATGTTAACACGTCAGAACGATGCGAATAGGCTACTAGTATAATTAGCTTTAAATTAATTTAAAGCTATTTTTATTATATTTTGAAAATTAAATTTTTTTAAATAAAAAACTAGCTGCATTACTCGTTGCTACCACATTGCAGTGGATACAAAATAGTAAATAATTATTAAAAATATATTATATACATAAATAGAAATTAAAAAAATAAAGTTTTAATGTAATATATAGAAATCTCATGCCACAATGGCAAATGTTTGTCACCAAACTCCTCCGAAACAACTGGACCGATTTTCATGAAAATTTGTGTGTTTATTAAGTATGTCTCAAGGAGTGATGTCAACTATTTTTCATACCCCTAGGTGTAAAGGGTAACTCACACAAAATATTATTTAATGTTTAATGTGTAAATTGCATAATAATAATAATAATAATAATAATAATACACACCGAGAGTTCAACAACACTGGTTATCGAAAATTAGTATCAATATAGCTTTTAAACAATAAAATACATGCAATTGACATAAATCGATCACCATCAAGTCTCTGGTATAGGCATGGCATTTTTAAGGGGCAACAAAGTGTCAGCTAATAATATTATAGTTATTGAGAAAAAATGCAAATTAGATCTTTTAAAAAATTAAAAATACAAATACTACCAAAAAAACAAAAAAGATACTATGCATGTAATTTGTTAAGAAATTATGTATTTTCAATACCCAAATTAATTGTAATTTTCATTTGTCAGTTAACATTTATGGTTGAAATATTTGCAGTTTCCTGATATCTATAAATATTGTTAAAAATATTATTAAAGAATTGGTGTTTCCTCATTTTTGGATGCTTGCTTATAATTTTAGCATTTATTTTCTTAAGTAAATTAAATACATTTTGAGGGCCAATATTGGTATACACTGAACATACACAATTGTATCGCTTGGAGCTCAAGTTATTAAGTGCCGCTTATTATACCAGTTATAATATTGTATTATGATATAAACCTTACTGCAATATTGAAAACAAGGTTTTTTCTTAATTACAAAATTATTTAACTTAATACAATATGTACAAATAATTGTTTTTATAAAACATATATATTATATAATGTCGTTTGTTCTAGGGCATGAGTTATTTTCGGCAAAGAATGATTGATCGGCCTAACATCAACTATGTCTTAAAAAATTACTTAAATCCCAGAAGAATTTGGTGTTACTTATATGGACCGATATATCTACTAAGATTACTTGGTAAGTATCAAACACAAATACATTATTTTATTTTTGCATTCATTTGAATATTGCACAATATTGTGTTATTTTTCTTGCACCATTTAAAGTAAAATAAAAATTCGAGCTTTGATCCAACCTGAAAAAATTCTCATCTTTCAAATCAAAATTTTTTAAAATTTGACATATACATCATACTCTTTACACAGACCTGAAAATCAAAACTGTTAAAGAAGAAGCAGTCACTTATTATAAAAGATTCCATAATCGGCTTGCATCTCATCCCAATCCTTTAATTAAAGCCTTTTTTTATCAAAAGGCCTTGACTATACAAATATTAATATAATTATTTGATCATTTGCTATTTAAAATTTGTTTAATATTTATTTTTCAGTTCATTTACCAAAAATTTTGGTAACAAACTCGTGGCATCCCGAATATGATACAAATATGTTTGTTCTTCATATTAAACAATTGATGCGGTAAGTTATTGTTTTTTCATTTGTTATTTAAATATATATTGTAGAAATCATTTACAAGAACATTCAAAGAACTAGAAAAAGTACAGTAAAACAAATAAAATACACAATTTCATCAGGATAATAAATTATATTGTCATCTAAATATGTTGAATATATATCCAACGTTTATCAACTACACAAAGAGCAACGTCTGGGACTGCATTTATGTTATATAAATGGATGGGTATGACCATAATTTATGACTCAAATGTTCTTTGTTAATTTTGTGGTGTTAAATACAATGTAGCAAGACTAATAAGTAATGACCTCAGAAACTCATCAGTTTTGTTACAATAACACACCAGCCCCTATGATTTTTTAATTTTCTCAAAAAAGTTAATATATATTTTAAACACACATATTACGTCTGAATATTTTAAAATATTATTAATAGCTTAAACTTAGTTCTAATATGTATTTGTAAAAATCTATTATTTGGTTTTAATATAATATATTTTTTAGCTATTGAATTTAAAAGTAGTACTATGATTAGATAAAAATCCAGCATGCTAGTATATATGATGCAACATTATATTCTTATTCTTCAAATCTAATTGAGGGTAATAGGATTTTGCGTGTTATCTCCATTTAATTAACACATAGCCTATACAATTTTACATTAAGAAAAGAAAAATCAATTTTATGTCTTTATTTTTAATGTTAAAGTGAAGTAAATAGTAAATTTTAAGATGTTTACTGAGTATGGAACAAATATTTTTTTTTCTTTCTCTAATTGGTCTATATGTACAAAACTTAATAATTAACTCCCTAAATAAGTCTTAACATGTTTACTTCCATGTGACTGCCAGTGGAAAATATTACAAACAAATGAGATTATGATAGTGCACAGCGTTTAATTAATAACAATGTGCGACTACCGGCGTCCTTAAAGCTACTTTTATATTTTGATATTATGTGGATACCAGCAGTCTTTAGGAAATTGATGTGTTGCATTTGACAATGGGTCAATTCACTTTAATAATTAAAATAATTGTTAAAAATAGATTCTTCTTAATAAAATAATATATTCAATGTTATTTGTTAGTAATAATCAATACAATGTCATTAATTCTTAATTATATCAGTAAATTTAGTTCATCCAAATAATTTTTAAAAAAAAATTTGGTTTTTCAGTTTTTTGGAGCATAATTACGATACCTATTTCTCTGTCTATGATTACATACCAATGGACCATAATACACGTAAAACAAAAAATGTGTTTTTACGACAAGCATCAGCACGTTGGCACTAGGCGGTGACTGGTTGCGCAGCTTTATCAAGAAAAAAAGAAAAATTTCAGTTTTTAAAAATCATAATATTATTAATGTGCTATGGTTTTTTTTCCTAGGTACCTGTGGAATGAAGTTTCACTTCAATATACATTATGGTTATAATTTAGTCTATAAGAAATTCAATGTACATTGTAAACTACATAAATTAGTTAATTATATAAGAAAAACTACATTTTAAAACAAAAATTGCTTTATGTCTAGCTATTAAGGTATATAATATATAAGTCTAATTGTTGAAAATTCCATATTGATAAGTTAATTATGAACAAGGTTTTAGTTAGCTATTCATGAGCATTCGTAGTAATTAGGTAATTATTGCAAACAATTTTCACTTAATTTGTTAATAATTTTTATTTTTATGGTTAAATTTGTTAAGGTATGTTTTCCTTTCAGAACCAAACAGCTGAACAGTACAGGGTTGGTAGTTGATGCTAGGCGCCCCATCCAGAAACCGCAGGAAAACCGTACCTTAACAGAATAAAAACATAAAAGAAACTAAGAGGATCATTTTTTTTTTTCGGTCACGTAACTGACTGTTTTTCTAAGATTCTAGAAAGATTCTGTCATTTTTTAGTTGTAATTTTCTAGAAGCATTGGTCCCTAGGAAAAAAGTCAGTTTGTGCTGTATCTGGCGGCATTCCCTTGAAAATTATGCTAAGCATCTGATGTTACAAAACAAGTGTAATCTTAATATATTATAATGGCGTAAACAGTATAATCGTGCTTTAATGAATTTTATCTTTTTAACAATTAGTTTTATTCTTTATTCTTTAAATATATCCTGTAGTATTAGAAGAAAAAATAGACCCATTAAAAATAGACACATTTTACATTAAGTTTCATAATCATTTGATTATGTCGCTGCTTAGGTACTCTTTGAAAATTTGCTTCTGGAAATATAGATAACTTGTTAGCTTATGAAATGTGTGTAATATTTTGTTTGAAATTGTTGTATACCTATGTATGAAGTACAAATAAGTTCATGTAATTAATGTTTTTATGGAGCATACATTTTGTATTATGCAAAATATTTAATTAAAATTAATATAAGAAATGTGCAATCTAAAGTAATTGTTTACTATTTTAATTTTATTCTAGAGCAAAACATGTGTATTTTTGATTAAGTATTGCCACAATAATTTTGAAGGAACAAATTACTGACAAATAGACACTACATTTTACAATGTTTTTATTAGGACCACAGTAAATTTAAGCCAACTTTCTTGAATGAAGATTAAAATCTTAAATATTTTATATAAATTATACAAATATTCTTCTTAGTTTCTGCCAGATACCCGTATCTTGTTCCTCAGAAGGAATAAATTCTGGTATTCTTAATATTTTTCCTGATATTTCCCATAGATATTATGTACATCATAATTCATAATAATAAAATACACTTTGTAAGTCGACAAAAGAGAATTATGTTCTGAGTAGGTAATGAGTTTACTAGATTATTATTTATCATAGGTTATACTGCAGTTTTGTGAAAATAATGAACACGTAACTAATTATTGTTTATTCCAAGAATTACTACCACATAGTCCACAAGACTGTTATGTCTATAGACGTTTTTGATATTTATTATACTTTTATACAATTAACAGTTTAAAATATTCTGAATTTAATTTATTCACCTATTATTCATTAATTTAATGATGTAAACATTAGTGTATACCTTACCAAGACATCTGGTCAATTAAATTGTTGATCTAAATTTGTAATTAGAATAATAAAACTAATTTTTAATGAAATAATATGATATAATGGTCAAATAATTAAAAATAAACATTTGTTTTATTTTCCATTGTTTTTTCCGTGATTCGTTGTAACTTATAAATTATTATGGTTAATAATAATAAAATATCATAGAGACATGTATGATATAAATATATAATGTAATCAAAGCTCAGCTGTATACAATGTATAATGTGTATGATAAAGTTTTGGCATTGAAACTTTATGAAATTCATTTCTGTAATTGTGTAACTAAGAAATTAGTGAAAAAAATATTTTGTATATGACTATTAGTGTCGAATAGAACAGGCAACATTCCAGCTTTAAGATCCAGTACCTATGTGATGTCGAGTCTTGATTCACATAAATATTTTTTTTTTATGGTCGTGTTCATCGTTTGTGGTTGTGTACTTGTGACTTATATCTAATATTTATTGATATTTATTGGTTTTACTTTTTAAGATTCTTATTGTACCTAGATTTAATCCATTGTACTTCTATAGAATAGAATCTGTTATGAATATTTTGAAGTCAATAAACATTTAATTTTACGTAGTATAGGTAGGTATTGTACCTTAAGACTATGCCTATAGGTTACCTATAAACACTAGTTTGTAATTATATTCTATATATTGGTATAATATGATAATTTATATTTTAAAGGCGATAAATATTATATTATCATATATATCATCATTTTCTTAAATATTCATGTACCTATCTAAATTAGATTATTTTATTTTATTTCTATACATAAATCTATACCTTATACTTTTTTTTTCATAATATCGTTTCATCATTTATTCAATTAATATTGGCTATCTTTGGCCATTGATGGTTTTTTTAAACAGGATTGTTTAATTTTAAAGTAAAAATTGCGAAATATTCAAAAAGTTAAGGGGCCTCCTAGTGTAGTGTCTTTATTAAGGGGCAATATTTAGGTAGGTATTATGTAATTTCATTGCAGCCGCCCATGTATTTGTGTTAGTCGTCAATGATGATAAGTGAAAGTGTTATATTGTATACGGACACCGGATAACCTACACATGCCCTACGGCCTACACAGTACACTGTCGCACAGCCGAATAAAAGACAATTTTAGACTTAAAAGTACTATTTCTAAAACTAAAACATTATTGTTTTTTTTTTAATAATAATATTTTATCTTAACAGTTAACAATATACTGTGGCTAAATATAGAGTTTCAAATGATATAATTGACTTATAGAGCTGTTTGTACTAAATATAATATACATTATTTGATTGATATTTTCAAACTTTCACACATTTTTATATTATTTAATATTGTCTTACTTAAAATGATAAAAGATATAATTTTTTTTGCGGGTATAGTTATTATATTTCCCTAAATGTAATAATGACAATATTTTTTTTTTGTGTTTGCTATATTATGTTACCAACTTGTTAAATGTATTAATGGTTTTTGAACTTTTGAAGAATGATATTTAATTTTAAACGGTTTTACTAATTGTTCAATATAGGTATTATAAGGTAGTTTATAGCTTATTAAAAATAAAACATATTTTTGCATTCTGCTTCAACAGTAATTTAAAAAAAATGAATTTCTTTAAATAAATATATAACATACCCACATTTGTATAAACCACGGTTTTTATCCTTTTTAATTTTCTCACATTAAACAATAAACAATCGGTTCTTTGCTTTTGTATTCTTTTAACTTAAAATGTATATATTTATTGCAAACCAATTAAATTTAACGTTAAAAGTTGATTAAGCACCAAAATCATGTTTTTTTTACAAAAGTAAAAATATTTATTTATAGAACTCCATTTTTGGAAATTACTGTTGAAACTTAATGCTCATTGTTTGAGCAAAAAACAGGTCGTGTGCAGGCCACTCCATAATGAAGATAGTATTTTGCTTTGCTCGTGTTTGCATTCCGTATAGTAAGGAACCAAAGTGATGAGCAAATTCTCAAGAATTTCCCTGGAATACAATAAGTTTTTTAATATCTCTATATATATGTAAATGTATTGTGTTCATAGGCGCAATTTGGACAATTGTTTTAGGGGGGCTAAATTAATAAAAGCAACAGAGACCCGCAGGGGCTACGCCCCCGCACCCCCTTACCACTAATTATTTTTAAGACTACACCTAATAAAATATGCAAACATTTTTTTTTTTTGAACCTACTCATCATTAAAAAGTAAAAACAAAATTATTGAAAAATCAAATACAATATACAACTCAACATTCATCAATGAAAATAAATTGTTTATTTCTAATTATAAAAAAAAAAAATATTATACATACAGTTACATGTTATAACTGTAAACGGCGATTAGACATAGCAAATTTATTTAGTATATCCTCATTTTTTAGAGAAATGTCCTTTTCTATATATATAACAGAAGCATTAGAAAATCTATCTTGATGCATAGACGTGCGTAACCAATTTTTTATCTTCCTCATAGCTGAAAAAGACCTTTCACATGTACTGGAAGAAATTGGTATACTGAGAGACAAAGATAAAAAAGTATATAAATTTGGATATATTTTTAAATCTGTAGCTAATTTTAATTCCTCTAAATCAAAATTAAATTTGGTACGTGTAAGACAGTTTTTTGCAACCAACATTTCAGAACGAAGAGCATCTACATCCACATTTACTAGACCCTAAAAAATAAAAATAAAACAATAGGTAAATTCATGTAAATGTAACAAATATAAATTCAATCTTAAACAATGAAATATTTACTGCATAATGTTCGATGAAATATTTACTGTCATCATAATTCAGTTTATGAAAACTATCGATTGATGACGCCATTTGTAAACTTTCAGGTGAAAATCTTTTTTTTAAGTTAGTAATAATACAATCTATAACTTGATAATAATCGGTGCAACTTTTACGATAAATATCTGTAATCTGATTAGGTTCATTCACATTCTGCAGCTCAGAATCCATGGTTGTAAAAACATGAAAATCATTTAAGTTTTTTGGCTGCTTTTTTTGGCGTTTTGCACAATGACCTTTAAATAAAATTATTATATATATATAAAACAGACATGTGTATATTTAATATATAATATGAAATATTTACCAGTAAAGAGAAGATCTAGATTATTATACTCAGCAAAATCTATGATCTTATTCCAGATTTTTTGAAATTCAGTTTCGGCTCGCAATGACTCAAAAGTATTTATTATTCCTTCAATTAAATTAACAGCACTTCCTAGCGTTGCACCTTTATTTTGAAGCTTAGTATTTAATACATTAATAATTTGTAATACATCTTCTAGTATTATTAGATGTATAAAAAATGAAGGTTTCTTGATAATAGATAAAATACCTACAGAACACAGTATTTGTAAGAGTGTGCACATTAAATAGGTTTAAAAATTTAATATTTTTCTCACCTATTGCTTGTAAAACATCTTTGTTATCACAACTATCAATTTCATTATTCAATACTTTTATAATAGCTTTAAAATTTGATTTGACAGCTGTACAATTTTTAACTCTACAATTCCAACGGGTGTCACTAAGTCTGGTCAATATTGTTTTCTTGATACCCAGTTCTTCTTGCATTTTGTTAAACTTTAAATTATTGGAAGGTTGGGAAAAGTAAACATATAATGATTCCAGACAGTTAAAAACTATACGAGTTTCCTACATTAAAGATAAATACAATGTAGGTACTAGGTAAATAGAAAAAATGATAATCTTTTGATACTAAATAACTTTTTGATACATACTTTTACTAATTTACACATGTCTAGTACAACTAAGTTAATTCGATGGGCCATACAATGGGTATAGATAGCATACGGATATTCAGTTTTGATTTTTTTCTGCACACCATTAAATTTACCAGCCATTACACTGGCACCATCATATGCCTGGGCTACAACGGGTACATTTATTTTATTTGTATTAAAGAAATTTATGATCTCGGTTGATAAAGCATTGGCATCCTGCTTTTGTGATACATTAATAAACCTTAAAAATCTTTCATACACTATAAGATCTTTAGTATAACGTACACAAATTGTCATTTGTTCTTCCCTGTAACATCTGATTACACAAAAATACTAAATTACATAAACTTTTAGTAAGCACTAAGCAGTTCCATATTCAACTTAATATTAGTTAGTACCTCGCTTCATCACACATGACACTAAAAAACCCACATTCATTAATTTCTTTAATGATAGTATCTATTATCATTTGAGCACTTATATTTAATAAGTCATTTTGTATTGACCAACTAGTGTAGTTAGTTTTTTCATTAAACATAGTAGCAAAATCTTCATTGCATTTTGATAATAATACACAAGCTTCTTTAAAATTCCCTAAAAAATAGATTTAAGTTGTACATATTTATAAACGTTATGTTAAAAGAATATATCTTATGCAATGAACAAAAACTACCTTGATTTAGTGAAGTTTTTTCCTCATCATGTCCTCGAAATGCTAGACCCTGGCGCCCCAAATACAAAACTATATCTATTAAATGCTTTATGTAAGCTCTATTTTTCATTAATTGTTGTCGATTTGCACTAGACATAATTGTGTGCACGGATCCTGATTTGATACTTTCTGTATAAGAAACCCATTTTGTTGAATTAGTTAAATGTTGAATAGTTTTGGCATGCAATTCCAATTTAGATTTAGAATTTAATCCACTTGAGCCACTAATCTATAAACATAAGTTTATGAAGAAAATAGTTTAAACTTATTGAAAAAAGGATATATAAGTACAAAACACAACAAATATCAACTCAAATAAACATATTTATTACAACAATTTACGATAAAAAATTTAATTACCTTTTTCCAATTTCTAAATCCAGTAGATACAAAAGTGTCTTCTAAATGTCCAGTTCCAAAAACTCTACAGGGATAGCAAAATACAGCATCGTTTTTCAAACTGTATTCAAGCCACTGAAAAGAACTGTATAGTGAAGATGAAAAAGATCTGTTTTGTTTGCCGAAACGAGTTTTTGGATAAACCTGATATTAAACAGATAACTTAAACTAGCGCTAGACTAAATACAATTTTAAAGTTTACAATATTGAATATTGCCTTGCACATTTTGTAAACAGTCTATAGGTGTTAATTATCACACTGTATACCTAAGTAGGTATTTGATGAAATAAACAAATAGTATAAAACTAAAATGATTAAAGAAAAATCATACCTGTAATTTTGGTCTTGCTGGGCCAGAATTTATGTCCCCTAGGTCATTAGTTTCCAAGGTATTTTCTGAAGAACAATCTTGTTCATTTTGAATATGACACACAACGGCTGGATCATTATCATTATCTTCGTTATTCTCAATAATTTTTTTAGAAGATATCTCAGATGGTTTAGAATTGAAGGAATCAAGATTACTAAGTGTTTTATTTGTTTTTAAATTAAAAATGCTAAACATATTATTTAACTTCACAAAACAATAAATAAGTAGCAATATCGAGTAAAAAATAAAAAAACACTTGTCACACGCAGAAATAAAGTAATACACAACAGAATACACAGAATACACTGCTTCAGAGTGAGTAAGAAAGACAAAAACGTCGCGTTGGTGCGTTACGTTCAGAGCTGCATTGCAATTGCGATAAGAGTCATAATAACACATTGACATGACCGTAAATTCCATATTCTAAAAATAGCTAATATGCGATAATAATATTTATACCCATGATATCATGTAATACGTACTATATAGGCATGATAAAATAAATGTTGTCATAGTACAATAACAATTGATTAAATATTTTGTAAATTATTGATTTTAATCTTATTAGTTATTACCATTGATTACATAATATACTAGTAAAAATATACTAGTAGAAATAATATACTAGTAAAATTAATTATATTTTAATCTATGTTATATCTATGTCTGATTATGGATTAAAGAATGAATATATTTATATATTATTTAAAAAATTAGGGGGGGCTTAAATTAAACTAGGGGGGGCTAAGCCCCCCTAGTCCCCCCCAAATTGCGCCTATGATTGTGTTTTAATATTATATCTTTATTCTAAATTATTGATTTACTATTTATTTATTTAAAAGTTTATTTAATTACCTAAACGTTATATCATCTTAATCTATTATTAATTTATTTTTGTTAAAACTTTGTTTCATTTTTTCTTTTTTATTATATTCTTTGAAGTAAACTTGTTCCTCAATCTTCCATTCAACAGAACTATGCAAATAAATAATTAATGTACTTAATATTATAAGAAATGACATAATTATATTATTTTATCTGTAAATGTAACTACTCCCTACCTCCAACACGAGCTTTTAGCTTACAGGAGGTAGGTAATCAAAACTGTATTTGTTAAACTTGTTAATTTGTTACAATTTCTTTTGATTTTTAATAAAAAACGTAAAAAAATAAATTTATAGGAAAATGTCTTCCTGATTCATAATCAACTGAGAGCTGAACCTATTAAAGTTATTGCCTTGAAATTTTGAGGATAGACTTATGTTATAATTTTACAGTATACTAAGAAAGGATTTTTCAACATTTTGATTTTAAGGCGTTGAAATCGACAAAAATAAATTTTTTACTTGTAAATTGTACATCTATACTACACATATTGTACCTCTCGATGGCCAGCGGGTTTCCTAGCTACAAAGTACAAGCAACCTGATATTTTTGTCCGTCATCTAATTATGTGTTTGGTCGGCGTATAGATATGAAATTTTCCGATAAGTAAAATTGTATAATCTATCTAAATCCATCTACATGTATAAATATAAATCAATATTTCCCTTTGTAAAGGCATCATGATCATCTCTTATCGTTTAAAACAGATCCATCTATGATATAAAATAGTTAATTTATCATTTCTTAATGCACATTTCGCAGTCGATTCAATCGGAAAAATAACAAAAACTGTGCAGTTATTTACAAGTGTGTCACTGTAATGGACGGTGTTAAATTTGAATTCAATGATATAAAATCATTGCATACGAACACGGATTCTTAGCGAAGACTATCATAATTATAATAATATAATAATTCTTACTATCAAACTATAATATTACTAAGTATATTTGATAGTATTATTGTGATTAAAGAAGAGCGTCTTAAAAAGCATACATAGGCAATACAACACTCAAAAGGCAGCTGGTAAGTAGTTTGTTTTACTAGTATAAGCACATTTGCACATTAGTAACTACTACTTAGTAGATTAAATACATTTTTGCCAAAAAAATTCATTTGAAAAGTCATTGTGTGTATAAAATATAATAATATACTTTAAAAGCTACCCACGAATAATATTTTTAATTTACAACAAAATAACATAAATTATTATTATTATTACCATTATTCTTGGTTATTTAATATGTGATTTCGTCCACATTTAAACATAAAAAAAACTAAAAAAAAACTGTGATTATACATTTTTTGATATTTTGATTACAGAATAACCCACTTGAGTGGAATTTTGTTTTGAATCTTCAACTCTTTGCTATAAAAGGTGAAAATTTTATAAATTTTAAATTATCAAATTATTTGTAGATTTTGAATGATGAATTTTTTCAAAATTTAAATGTTTTAAAAAAATCGTTTTTGTATTTTTTAAGTTTTTCAACTGATATTGCAAATATATGTCAGGAGCCTTATAGTAAATTTTCAATCTTTTAAACATAGCAAATACTATTTTATTGACAATTATAGAAAAAAGCTAAACAAATTAAAAACTGAAAATGTCAGTAAACACCTCAAAACGAGTCAAAGTATTTTTTGAATTTTATCAAGTATAGGAAATGATAAAACTAACATTAATTAATGTAAATTTCAAGTATCTGCGATTATTTTCTTTATTAATAAATTACAACAAAATAAGAAAATCTTTAAACGAGAAATCGAGTAAATATCCAATGTTGTGAAAATGTCAACTTTAAACTCTCATAAAAATTTAATTTAACTTTCCGGTAGAATTTTTTATTTTGATAATAGTAGACAAACTTATGCTATATATTATTAGTTATAAGGAATTTTGTATTAAATTAAGATATGAAAAGAAAAATTTTTATGGATTCCCAGCCTAAAATAATTTGCAATTTTTTGTGATTTTTACGTATTTTGTCGAAATTTGAAAATCAGACTCTAAAAAATGTTTGTGGACTTACACTCAATTTTTTTTTAATTTTCACTAACAACAACTCACGAGGAACCTTGTATTGTATTTTTAAGTTTTATGACCCATCTAATATTTTTTTATAGACATTAATCGAAAAAAAATTAATAATAATCGAAAATATCATAAGCTTATAAATAGTTCAACATGAGTCAAAAAATTTTGAAAATTGTATGGTATAGCAAATGCTAACGCAGACATTCAGTGAGAATTTGATGTATCCATGCTTATTTTTTTTAGAGTTGCATTAAAAACCGAAATCGATTTTTCGAAAATTGGTTTTACGTAAAAATACCCGTTTTTCCTTAATTTTTTGTTTGTTTATTTTGTGGCTTTTAAAAACTATTAGAAATTTTAAATTTGGTCCTCTCGAATGCACCAACTGTATTCACTTTCCTACCGGAATGCTGTTGAAAGAATTGAAACACTGTTACTGCCCAAACGGCGATGACAGACACGTAAATAAAATAAAATAAATTAATAATAAGACACACATCATTGTAAAATCAATAGCTCCTCTTCGAATCTAAAATAAAAATTATGGTTAGAACAAAAGTTATTTAATATTTGTCTGGTCTCCCCTTGTTACACTGTAAATGCTATTAACATAATTACTAATTAGATGAATAAACCATTTTCTTTACGCAGATAGCTTCCACACATTAACTCTAATTACATTCACACACACCTTTGGTAATATTTTCTTCACCAATAAACCCTATCATAAGCCTTCTCTAGATCAATAAATAGCACGAGTAATTTTCTTTCCTACTACTTTTCAGTACTTCTCAGTTCTCAGATACTTCTCAGTCATCTACTTTCTGCTTGATACAAAATATTGGCTCTTAAATTATTGACCTTCCGGATATATGCTATTATTTTGCATACTCAACGCGCCGTCTAATTAACATTATTAGTTGTACTTACTTACGTTATATTTTATAATACTTCAAATTGTATACTTGTATTAACATACAACTAAATTGTGGTAAGGCCCATGACTCGTGAGTAATTTAATGAATATGAATGAAATATAAACAAAAAGATGTAGGTTTATTTTAAAAAGTATAAACCTAGATACGGTAAAAAAAGAACTTGAAATTTTTAAATAAATTATAAAATATCATTCCAAATAATAATGACAAAGACACTCCACCGCTCAAATTTAACAAATCCACTATTCCACTACAGTGACTTAGTTACCTACCTAATGACTAGGTTCACTCAATGCATATTTACATTACATGTGTTAGTCCACTTTTTGTCTTTAAAAATCGATAAAAACTATTGGTCTAAAAGTTAAAAAAAAAAATTAATCACAACAGGTTTTTCATTAGTTGATATCACAGCTATTAAAAAAATATTAAAGATACCTACCTACATATGAACTATTTTTTTTTTTACGAATCCAGTGGATATAGGTACCTATATATACAACTGCAAATTTCAGCTGATCAAAGAACTGGTTAAATCTACGTTCTTAAACCGTTTTGTAAACAGCAAAAATATGATTTGTGAATATTAAAACGGTCGATGAATCATATTTAAATGCGATTTAATCGTTAGAGCCTTCAGCGCTTGTTTTACATGGCACATATTATAAACAAAAAAATTATTGAAATCCACCAGAGTAATGTTACCGTATAATTTAATTTAATTTAAAAACAATAAAGAAATTTGATTATTGTTTTTACCCTCCCACCCTCCCAAAATGAAATCCTAAAGCCACCACTGGCTGACAGTCTGTAGTTAGTATTGATTCCCTATAAGCGTAACACAACGTACCTACTGTCATATGCGTCATCTTGGTAAGTAGTATATTATGCTACAATAATTATTTCGAAATTCGATTATAAATTGTTAACCACTAAACTAAACAACTAATTTTGGTATGCTATCAGAAATTCAGAAACACAAAGTCATAACTCATAGACCAAACGATTGTTTATAATTTCAAATTTGCGTTGGTACAATATTATTGTGATCGATCATGATGTATAGGAATATAGGTATTAGGTACTAATAAGAGCATAATACTATTTAATGACTGTTAACAATATTTTTGTATTTGGAGATGTATTTAATCCACGGTGTCGACCCTTTTGAATGTATACTATTATCTCCCATCATCAGCATTCCTTTCAAAATATTAAGCTTCATTAAAACGTCGTAGTTCTTTTGAATGGTTTCGTAAACCGATTTTATATGTTCAGACACTTTGTCGTACGCTGTGTTCAAAATCATCAGTTCCGTAACTTGATTTTTCGATGAATCTTCGTCGACCTTGCATTCTTTCGAATAGTCGAAATCGTGGACCACGTTCACTACAGTAGACGACGGTAAGCTCATGGTTTCCTAAATAATAAAACAAAAATGCAGTTCACACGGGCACAAAATACAAAATTGATTGATTCAAGTTGTTACGTCACACTTAGGAGTGCCCGGTGCCCCTCAAGTGTCGGTAGGTATTAGTATAAAATAATCTATTGAATATTATACACATTCGTGCAAAACAATCGTTTTAAGTTTTTTCGTAGAACGGTTTTTGAGAATTTTGAGAATAGGTCGACACTAAACTTCACCTCACTTGGGTTGGGCAAGATTAATAAGGAGTCAAGTGAAAATATTATTTGTATCGCTTAATTATTTTTTGTGATTTATAAATACTGAAGTAAAATTTTGTTTTGGAATAATTTAAAAAAAAAAAAAAAAAAAAAGGTGGTCACTCTGCAGTATTTCTAGTTCTAGAGTACTATAGAGTGTATACCTCATCATTTAGTGGGACACTGAAATATAGATGTGTCCAATTGTATCAATTCAATGATATTATATTATTACATTCTAAAAACGATGTCAAGTTGTCTGATAACCTATATTTATAAGAATATTTTGCTATTATAGAATATATTGATATTGCTATTAATAATTTATTTTTATTTTAATAAATAGTAGAACTGTCGATCGAACTCATTTTTGGCGAAAACAAATCGCATAATATAATATATTACATTATCTACCAATTTTTTTTTTGATTAAGAGCTTCTGGTAATTAAGAAATAACTAATATGGGCAATTATAGGAGGCCACAATGTAGGGTGTCTGGGCTGCCATTGCAATTTTCAAAACGCGCGGGTCAACCAAATTTTAAGTCTGATGGTTAGGCTAACAACTTTTACTGACAAAAATGTTTTTATGCATTGTTATAAAGATATATGTTTGAATAAATTAAGTAGTATCAATCTTTATTTTGTTAATAACATGCAGTACTTATTGAAACACCTATTTGTTTAATTTCATTGAGTTAAGATTATTTAAAATTATGGTAATTAGATTGATTTGTAGCTAGGTCATAGCCCATTGGCTTATCTTTTATCTGCGAGTTAGGTCCTAAATGGTGTAATACAGGGTTGTAGATGAATAATATTTCTGGAGTTTAATTTAAACGTTTAAGGTACTGAAAATATTGTACGTTATTATAATTGTATGTAAATAGATAATCTAGGTACAGACATTTTTCAAAATATATAGATATTAAATTTGGGGGAGGGAGCTACCATTCTTTAAAAATTACAGACTCAGGAGGGATGTATGGGTATTCTTAAGGTTCATTTAAGTATAGACTGTCCACGTGAAGTGAAGGGACGAAGTCTTTAGTTTAGTCACTCATACGAGTTAACTTAAGTATAGTAATAGGTTAGATTATAATATTGGTACTGTTGTTGAGTGTGATCTACCCATCGGTTTTTGTTCATTGGCATAACTAAAGGAGGGGGGCTAGACCCCGCTAACTTTTATTATAGCCCCCCCCCTTTAATCCCATTACTCCCATCAACGGTATAGCTAAATTTATAAATTTTAATTAAAAAAAATAGTTTTATTTTTTTATAAACGCCTGGGAAAATGTTTTATGTTATTGTCAGACAATATAATATATTATCATTAAATGTGATGAGTGATGAGCTATGACCATGTGTATGACATGCAGCGTAGTTTTTACTACAGTCATAGATACAATCAGAGTTTTTTTTTTAAAACATTTATTTGAATATATACAATCTGCAACGATAGTGTTACAAATTTACAATGAGCATAATACGAGTGGAAGTATAAAAGCTGACTGTGAATGCGGGAGGGGAGCAGCTACCCATCAATAACACTCGACCGATACAATAGAGTAAACACATTTTATTTTTGTAACATTATTGTATACATTTCGATAACCGGACGACGATCGCTGTGCCTACCGACCGCTTATATAGAGGTCTTGCTAAAAATAGAATCAGTTTTATATTATTTTATTATATTGTCATAAACCTTCGATTTTCGTAAGTACAACGGTTGTGTGCTTGTGTTTGAAAGTTTGTATTCTGGTCAACGTCGTTATTGTTGTTATAATAAATTAGTCAAGTTTTGTTTTCATATCTTTCTAGGATTTATTAAATATAAAACAAATAAAACTGAAAAATTAAAAAAAATTAAAAATCAGAAACGTGGGTTGGATTAAAAAAGAAAAGATTAACAATCTTCAGGGGAATTTAAAGAGGCTAAAGATTATATTGTTCAAAAATCTGTTTTTTCCAAATTTATATTAAATGCTACATTTTTCATCAGTTTCTGTTCCAGCAAGATTCGCATCTACAGAATCGTGATAAAACATTTTCAGCAATGCGTCGAATAAATAGTTGTATAATGTATTGTATATTGTATATGTTACCAAATCAATAATGTTTATAGTGTAGTCAAATGTTTATTGTAGCTATTAAAAGAGATTTATCAAATGTTCTAAGTAAAGAAATATTATAAAACATTTACTTACATTGAGCGGAGGCTTAAACCGTAATTACCAGAGTATTATTTTAATGTTAGCCGTATAAATTAATTAACTTTCGCTTATATCTTAAGAAAATTAAATTAAAAATTGTGTAACTAAAATAAAAAATTTTAATAACTTAATGTTTACCGTTACCTTCTCTTTCCACTTTTTATGATAAGTATTATACAAACACTACAATAAATTAATGAAATAAAATATTAACCGTAGATTTATTGTTAATTAATGTAACATGTTTTGGGTGGTGTGGGGGTGGAGCTCCACTACTTAATTTACTTATTATAAAAATGTTAGAGCTTAAGCCCCCTCCCAACTTTAAGGTCTAGTTACGCCTATGTTTTTGTTATATACTTATATATGTATTATACTATTATGTATGTACATTGTACACGCATATATTATTATTTATTATTATTTGAATATTACGAAAATTCAATTTTAAATTTAAATCGAATAAAAAATAAATAAAATGAATAATAAAATAATATCGTAAAAAAATGACGTCTTAATTGAAGAAGGTTCTTTCATATCATGAAGGAATCCGTTGAATACGTTCTCTTCGGAATAGATGGAATTCCACCACTGTTCTTGCAGCTGACGGTCCGAAGATGGAAAAAATGCGCTATTATTCGTTTTAATGTTTTATTTTTTAAACTTTATAATTTACGTCTCGTGAATGTGCAAATCCATAATAATGCAATTTAGAAAGGCTCTCAATACTGTGTATAGTTGACCCACATTCAACTTCTCTTGTGGTAATAGTCTGTGATGGTCTCGTTTTGGAACAATAAAATATCTTTGTTCCAATGCGACAACATAATCCAAATACCCATGGGCCTTTAACACTGATTATTATGTTGGTATAACTTTTGAACTGTGGTATATTTTTGTCTTAACGTCTTTGATCGATGAGCATTTTGTATTAACGATTATTTATCTTAATTATACCGATAATAAATAATTATCATTTATTCATATTTCATATAAAGAGGAAAACATTTACTGTGAGATATTGTTTTTATTTTTTCGATACCACAAAAACAAAAAAGTTTTTCAAGCTTGAAATAATGCAATTTTTTAACAGTAGGTATGAACTTTTCTTCTATTTGTGATACCGAAAAAATAAAAACGATTTTTGCAGTCAATGTTCTCTTGTTTATAGTGTGAATATTAGGTTGCTTAGCTTGGGCTACTGCTTGAGTGGTTCTATTTCGCTTAAAACTGCAGTTGTTGGCATGCACGTATTTGTAAGACGGAGACCACACGTGCGGGTGTGGCGTCCTCCGTCTTACAATTGCTTAAAGTAAATTTTACTAGATCCTCTAATTTAAAACGTAAAAAGTAAATTGACTTCTTATAAAATTTAGATTATTACTAAGATTATCCAGATTATAATCCAGCCACCTCATAGGATGTATATTATATTCTAATTTTAAAGCGAGAAAAGATTATTTTAAGATGTACGAACAATTGACGATTTTAAAATACTCATAACTCGCACTGTAAAATTAAAATATAATAATAATATGATATTACCTGGATATTAATATTATCTGTAAATTGTATATGAGGACAATTCACTCTAATTTTTAAATTAACGGAGATGAACATGATCTGCCGAACGTACAATTTGGTATGGTACACTTGTAAGACGGAGACAACAAATGTTCGTGAAGCGTCCTCTTAAACTTTTATCATTGATTTTATTATCGCTACAATAATTTTATAGTCTTGATTATGTTTATTAAATGGTACATAAATCAAGCGTCTTATAAGTGGTTCAAATTCATTGGAATATAAACGTTGTTCATTTGTATAAATTGTATCTGGTTCATGTCATCGTTATAATATATTATATTGTAAAAGTCAATACTTGTCGCAAGACTAGATGACTGATGAGAATGCATGTAGTTTTATAGTAAGTAAAATGTTTCTTCAAGCGTAGCGACAAACATTTTTTGGGGGTATTTATTTGTAAACAAAGGACTGATATACTAAATTAGAGGTATCATATTTATGTTTGCTCCTCCATACATTGTTCCTTAATACGGCCCTGGGTAGATCACACGTAAGACGTAACAATAGTACCATAATATTTTATCATAATACATTGTAGTTATTAATTACGTAACCTATAAGTACGATAAATACCGAGTACCGTACGTATTCGTGATATAAATAACATAAAATTAGTCAACATAATATTAAAATGTCATTGTGTATAGGCAATAATAATATACGTAATGGCGGAATTGTCAAGTCTCTGGGGGCTATGATTAATATTTATTGAATTCAGACAAATAATAATGAAAATCGTTATTTTTTGTTTGATACCTAATATTCAATTTCGTTTAAAAATTCAAATTTCTTCAAATGTCTGTAAAATTATGTGGATTGCCGTAAGTAAAATTTCTGAATAACCTTGTATATATTACATTTTTAAGCTTTAGCTTTTAAAATTCAAAATGTCATAAATATTCAATTAGGCACAAAATAATTTGCAAATGTTCGTGATTATGATTTATGACGAATTGTATAAAAAAATAAGTTAAACACTTTTGACAAATATTGTAATACATTTTCAAACATATTCGACAAAGTATAATAAAGTTTTCAATGTTTGTCTAAAAAAATAAATAATTATCTAAGATATTTTATAATTTCTAAGTATATTTTTAAATTTCAAAGTCAATAGAAAATTATTATTCAAGTAATATTGGAATAGGTATTTCAAGTCTCTGAGATAAATATTTTTTTTTATAATAACAAAATAACAAAAATAATATGACTGTTTGAGGATAAATTGTTATCATTTAGGTTTGAATATCCAATATCATTAAAATTTGAACTACAATCGTTCATAAAAAAATGTACGTGCCTTAAGCTCAACTTTTTTTCATATTCTAGTAAAAATCTTATGAAAAATCTTGTATTAAATTGTTGAGATTTAGGTGTTGGAATAAATGAAATCTTATGCATTTTTAACTAAAAAATAGTTTACACATTTTCACTATTTTAATAAATAAATATTGTAATATTTTCGATAAAATTTAATTGAGGTTGAAAACCACAAGACTTATGGGGAGCTTTATTGCATTAATTAAAAAAATAAAAACAAAATTGTAGATTCATCATCGTAAAACCAATACATTCATTGCATCATTTAAAACGTTTTACTCACTCTAAATTATAGTTTACTAATGTTATATTATTATAGGTAGGTAATGCATATTAATATATTGTAATTACTACGTTCTACCTATTCTAGTCACTCACCGACACTTGCGCAGATTTGTCATCGTTGAGTATATGCAGCATGTCCAGTAATTTCTTCACGTCGATCTTGTCCAAAATGTCCCAATTGGGCGGATGGGTGACCGCTGTCGGATTGTGATCCACAAGGCTGGCGGGTGCGAAATTCGTCAATTGGTTTAACCGATTCACGGGCATGGTACCGACGTCTGCGAAAATAACGCAAGTGATCATTAGCTCGTAAATCATGATGATCGCACTCATAATTATTATGTCTCCTTAGAAACTGAACACGTGCGTAACGAAAAAGAGTTTTGACAGTCATCCGGATTGTTCGCAGGTAAACACCGAGTGAAGAACGACATATTTGTATTTTTATGTAACATAAATATACCTAACGATTTGTGTCGATTTACGATAAGCTGTTCTTGTTGATTATTGTAGAATTAAACAATGTATGGTTGCTATAACTTGCATACCTATATAGTCACCTAACATAATATAGTCAAGTTAAAATTACTGTATAGGTAATTATAGGCACAATATAATATTATAAAAAAACATTTATAATAAAATGAAAGATAATTAATAATAATATTGTAATGCTTTAATACCTGATACGTATTACGTATAGTACTATTAGTACTTAAGTATTTATTGGGATTCAATATAATATAATATCATAATATTATGTGATACCATTGAGTATAATATCATATTGAAACTTACAGTTACTGTGTCATGGGTAGCATTTTTGTTAGGTAAATAATAATACAAAATATAAAAGACACAGTAAAAACGTCAAATATATTTTACTCAAATAAACAAATATCAGTTTTAAGTCATTTATCAAGTTATTAAATTAAAATATAAAAATATAAATAGGTAAATAATAATAATAATAATAATAATAATAATAATAATAATAATTAAGACCCGGAATTATATGCACTAAAAATGTACGAAATATGCATGCATTGCATTTATGCACTGATTTCATTAAAATATGCAAAAATAGGTAAACAAAATGCATGTTAATTAAATTTATTTAGTTTAAACATTTATATAATTCATTAAATAATTAATATGGAACAAAAAAATGTACTAAATACCAAGTTGTCATAATTTAACTGTATTTTGTACAATGTACCTATGTTGCATTTTGAACATTCACTCATCTAAATAAAAATTCATGAACGATAATCAATTAAAATAAATTTAGTTTATTTTTATAACATTTCTAAGTTATGTACCTGAAGAGATACAGTTGACTACTACAGACTTGGATACATTTTCAAATAAAAATGCAACAAATATATACTTGAATCGAGAAAAACTTCACATTCGCGGGATTTAAGTAGGATATGGCGTTAAGTATTATTAACTTAATACTATTTTTTTTTCGTAAATATGCATTATATTTTAGAAAAATATTGAAGTATGCATACAAATTTTAAATGATTCAAGTATGCAATAATATGCAACATTTAATTTTGCATACCAACACATTAGTTTAAGATTCAAATTTGCAGCTTATCTAGCTACTTTTTGGACTATTAAAATAAAATATGCAAATGCATATTAATCTGGGTCCTAAATTAATAATAAATCGCATCGCATAGTGCCTATCTGCTGTTTAACTGCTGAAAAATTGGTATGTTTCATTTAATCTTTCCCCACATTACTAATAAAAATCACATACATCAGTTTTTTCACAATTTTCTGGAAATAATAATTCTGACATCTGCGGTTATTGGCAATAAAACCAACTGACAAAAATTTGTAAAGATATTTTGCAGGATAAAATGCGACATATGGTGAAATTATTATTACAACTGTTGTTCTTACGTATCTACCTTTTAAATTATAATTTTGTTGTTTTTACTTTTTTCCGTCTACCTGTCATATTATTAGAACTAGACATTTTTTTAATACAATTTCTTAACAAAATTAAAATATGGAATTATGAGTAAGTTCCTACTTTGGTATATTTTAGAATCTCAAGCATACTATAAAGTATACTGCACGTCTGTACGTATAACAAATAGGTATAATTGAAAAAATATAAATAATATCATAATGTATGTATATTTATAATATACATAAATAAGTAATCCATTGCTTTAAGTATCATATCATGTATTACACTTTTTATAATGTGCAAAAAGTGCTAAAATATAAGTGATTATGAACGATGTATTGATATATCATGGTTTACAAAAAAAAAGTACTTAATTAAAATAATATATTGTAGGTATGATTTATACGTCGTGGCTTTAATTAAGTGACCCATCAACGGGCTATGAATAATGAGTAATTTTATTATACGTACTATTATGTTCACCTATCTATGTTTAACCTAGGTACCTATTTATAAATATAATGCATACGTTACCGCACCATTGGTAAAAGTTACTATAGTTATCCGGGTAATAATTAAAACTATTGCAAGACCATCACAATTCACAAATCAAGAAACCAGTGGCTTATTATTTCGGACAGTTTTGATGCCATTTTAAATTTTAATTATTCACACTCTTAACTATTTCGAGACAAGTGTTTTTTATTCAGATTTAAGTACAACGTTACCTATACAAAATGTATCAGAAATGATTTCGGTCGGGTATTTTGGTATTTTTGGAAGTATTTATCCCATATAGGTACAGCCACAGGCAATGGTCTAATGTTTGTCTGTTAACATTTTTTGAACAAACCGCCTACGGCCTACCCATACTTGCCCATATGTAATAGGTGTCGTAAGTAGGTAGATACCTACCTCTACTAGGAAACATAATTCTACGTTAAAAAGATTAGCCTATGACTAATATAGGCCATCTTGAACACGATAATATTACACCTAGATAGGCAGCTACCTACGGACCTACCCACTCGTAAAAAATAAACGAACGCACGGCGATAAAAGGATTACCCGGTAATTGGCCGGTATAATTTTGTAAGTGTGCCATACTATTATAATTTCGTCCTTGAGACGAAATCTTAAGCTTAACAGCCAATTTTATTTTATATATAGTTACGGCGTATAGGTGCGTATGCTAAATCGTACGCGTAAACATTTAAGTATACCTATATCATATTATAGTGTCCGCCGCCCAACATTAGTTTTTAATGTGCCGCGCGACGAAATGGTGTTTATGACTTAATAAATCAAACAAAAACGAGTAGGCAAAGTACGACTGTTGATAATATTTTTAGGATTTGGAAAAAACTATTATTAGGCCGACTCTGTCCACCGTCCGTTGTCGGGGGGCTAATAAGAAAATAGTTGAATAATTAATCCGTAGGTATATTATTACAATAACATCAATACATGGTTAGGTTCTAAAAAATACAATTTATCTGCTATCACCGCCGCGGGGATCGTTATCAATAAAATAACGGTTATCAGTTAGTCGGTCGGTGGTGTTTAGCCGTTCGTCGTTTATCACTGACCTGCTTTTTGACCTATCTTTCAACCAAATGTTAATAGTTGTTAGTTTAAAAGCTTAGATTTTTATGTTTTCGTCGTTGATCTTTTGTTAGAAAAGGTCTACGATTCCTTTTAGCATTCATAATATAATTCACATTTGTAATTTTTCGCTTCCAATAATTAATCGGTTCCAGTTCACAATTAAATACCTATAAACACTGAATGCCTCACTTGTTGTCTCCATTTCATTAGTTACCTACCTTTATTACAAATTTATTTTAGCTATAATTCGTAACAACTATTCATGGGAAATCTATATGCAAAAGTGAGTAACAATTATTTAATTTTTATCTATTGTTTCTCTTCTATAGGATTTTCTTCATTAAAACGAGTTTAATTTTAGTTAAATTAAAAATTGTTTTGTGTAACTAAACCAATTAGCCATTAGATTATTACATGTGTAATGAACTCAATATATTCTGTAGGCGACCAAATGAAGAATTTCGACTATTTAAAAAAAAATTTAAGCTATGATTTAATTATACAATTTTGAATACCTATTCTTTTATTATGTTATTATGTTACTCGTTCTATGTTTCTTACAATTATAATAACATAATGAATAAGTATTTATTATTTATATAATTTTATATTTTCCTGTACTTATTATTTTTTTTGTATTATTTGCAAAACAGTTTTAATTATTTATTCCATACTGATTTCTAGTTAGTAGACAGTAGTTATTACAATATTACTTCCTACATGACCTATACCTTCTACCAATTAATAAATAAGTAAACTTTAATGATTACATTGCTATGAATCATTTTTGATTTTCAGCTTTACCATGAATTCAATACTAATCAAAAGTCGTCACTACAAGATTTTAAATTGCTGGGAAATCAAGAAGTGAGTTTTTTAAACAATTTAACTATTACTTTTTCATTAGCAAACCCCTACCTAATTATTAAATCTACTAGCACTCCCTGATTTTGTTTACTCAACATTTTATAAATTATATTAGGTATGAAGAAGTTTACATATTTTACACCCATTTGTACTCTGTAAAAATGCTGCATAGTAAACTATATTATTTTGTATGTTACCGGCTAATTTATAATTAGTTTATTAAATAGTTATTCCATATATTCAATTTATATTTCATTGGCAGGTAACAATTATAATAACATTTAAATTATAACCAGTAACTTTTAAGACTAACATCTAGGATATGACATTTTACTGATTAAGGTGAATGTTAGTCAATTGTAAAATCTGTTTTTACCGCTAATTTTTTTTAGAAACAAAATTGTATTGTTATGATCTCAATGGTTGCTCTAGTAAATATAGCAATACAACTGCGTAAAAAAATTGTTAATTTAATAGAACGGAGATGACTTGTTCAATTTATAATATAATAGGTATTTAATTATATTTTTAATTTTCTAACATAGATTATGTTGATTGATTTTATTTGTTTAAAATGTTCATTTTACAGTTGTATCATTACCACTTACAATATTTCATATAACAATAAATTAACTTAAAAAATTGAATGTAAAGAAAAATGGGTAGGTACTTTTCAATTATCGTACTCTGGTGGTTAATATGCCAATTGGCTGCATCAAAAGTATTAACAGTGATATTCATTAAAATAATAAACTACATTAACAAATTAATGTCTCCTATAGATAAATTTGTACTTACCTAAACATTTTTTACATTTTTCTACATTTAATCATTGTTGCATAAAATAGTTCCTAATTTATTCAATTAAAATAAACAAATATTAACTATCAGTTAATACCGAAATTGAATATTATCTTTGGTTAATGCTAAATGGTTCTTAATAAAAAAAACTAGCTGAAAATGTCGCACCTAGAGTAGTAATAACTAATATTTATCTAACATTTGTACGAAAATTTGCTTTATCTAAAATCAAGGCTGGTATAGATACCAGAAAACGTTTTTTTTTCAATTTAAATTAACTAGTTAAGA